TTATTAATCGTTATCCTTTTTTGTTCATGCATTATCTTTGTGATTTTTATAAATCTTCCATCAATATTCTATCCGTACAAATTTAACAGATATCTGTTCATTATATTATTGTGTTCATCAAATAATAATTATTTATTCAAATCAATTTATTCTTCAAATAATTTCTAATCTTTTTTTTTTATTATCGAGATAAACTTTAAGAAAGATTTGTTTAAAACATGCTATAAAATTTTATAGGTTTTCCTAGCTCACGGCAAGTTCGTCGTGCTGAGTGCGCACCGACTAGTGCATATCGGCGACACGGTGCACCGAAATGTGACACGCAACGATGTGCGAACGCGCGTGCTACAATGTGCGAACGCTCTGAACGAGGCGCTTGGGCAGACGGTGCAGAAGACGAAGCAAGCCGCTCAATTCTTCCCGAGTGTTACCGCGGTCCAAGAGATGGTCGACAGCGTCGTCGACGTCTCGCATCTGGCCAAGGATCTTAAGGTCGCTATGATACACGCTGCTCAACAGCCCTGAGGAGAATTGTCACGATGCGGTCACGAAACCACAAGTTCCTTCAATTGAGACGCGGTCCATGGTAGTTTCTTTCTCGTTAACGGAGAAACTTTGAGACTGCAGAAGATTCAAACGCGTAACGCGTTTTTGAATTTATCTCGCGATTAGAATTGGATATCGCGTTGATAATTTGAAGACAGCGCTTGAGAGATCATGTCGAGTCTATTCGGTGTATTTTTTCTTTCTTCGTCGAGATTTTTAAAGGAATTGCTAAGAATCGTCAGCACGTTGATAAAAATAGAATATTCTTTCTTATACGAAAGTGGATCAAAAGTATCTCAGGAATTTCTCATGGATGTGGTCTTTCAAGCGTTATCTGGGAGAATCATTGGTGGCTGACTTTTGAGATTCAGCCACGAATAGAAATACAATAGTACTGAATAAGCCTGTTATTTTTTTTTAAACGAGCACTAGTGCAAAAGAATTTCACTTACAAGGGATGTCACCCAACTGTCCGGCACCGATTTGAGTCTCCGTGAAATATGTTGTTAGACACAAAAATCTAAGAGACACGTATAAAAAAATACGTGTCTCTTAGATTTTTGTGTCTAACAACATATTTCACGGAGAATCAAATCGGTGCCGGATAGTTGAGTGACGTCCCTTGTTAGAATCCCAACAGTTTCGATATTAAATGGCGAAATAATCAAACATGATCCATATACGCTTCACGAAAGTGAAAACATGTCCGGATATTCGCACACTTTAGTGCGTCTCGTGCAGCTATTATCCTATTTCATTATAAAGAAAATCCGTGGCCTAAAATAGGAACCTGCTACTGCCAAAGCTCCGGTATATAGATCGTAAGAAACGAAGAAAACCACAGCCCTGGAACGAGTGTCTTTGTAATGTACTCGAAAATAATATAAGCATTGTAATCTTTCATAGGAAATATATGTAGCCGTTTAATTAGACATTCAGGTAGACGTGTGATGTGAAACGGAGTATAACGAGGCCAATAGCTTTCTGACTTGAGTAAAGCATTTCCGAAACGGCTTTCGCGAATTTGCGACCTGGTAAACACCGTTGTTTTACCACGTCGTAAAGTCCATTTCGGATATACGCCCACGACGTATGCAGCTAAACGTGTTAGTAGTTTTATAGATGTATGTATACAATAGAACATTACACACGCGAATAGACTTGTATTCATATCTCTCTTTTAGAGAACTGGTTTCACCGATATCAGTTAACCGTAATTTTACTTTCGCAAATTCCTTGTTCTTTTGAAAAGAATTAAAATAAGGAAGAACTTAAATTGCAATTACAATTAACCAATATTGCTGAAATCGATGACTAGCAATTTTAATGACGGGTTTGAAGTGTTTTCCTGTAGTGAAGAATCATCGCTGCTTTTACTTAAAGGCAAAAGACCGATATGAATACCAATGTCGAATTGAGGAACAACCGTGTTTCTGTTTTTGTAACTCGATCGTATATCAAAAAATTGACACCAAGAAAATTCAACGCAGATTCCTCTGCGAGCAGTACCTTTTTGGGATATCCCATAAAGGCAAATTATTATTTATTTTGCGGACAGTTTTTTTGGAAGACAGTTTTTAACGAATTTTATACAAAGCTTTTACCGCCGGGTTACGACTTTTTCGGATGCCCAGGCCTTTTTACCAGGCTCTTCCATAACAATGAATTAGTCACGTGCGCACATTGTGAACCGCAATCAGCGGCGGATCGAATTTGTTAACGCGCAAAAATTTCCACGGCAACTACGCGTACTCGCGAATCTTTTTGCACAACGAGACCAATAACGCCTTTTTGATAAAGCGAACGAACGGATGTTTTTATTAGATCTATAGCAGGTCCTGTGACAGATTGACAATGCAAATGTTTAAAGGATATCGCATTCAGAATTTTCGTTTTATCTCCTAAATCATTTTTTGCATTTTCATAACTTTCAAGTGGATCAATCATGAAATTTTAATTATCTATAATCATTGAAACTCTCTCTCTCTCTCTCTCTATCTTTTACATTAAATTGGATCTTAAGGACTAAAGCTAAACCGAACAATATCACATTAAGATCTGAAAAGATTAGCTAGATTATCTTCGAGTTCACGTCTGTTGAAGCCAAAAGTATGTATACGATCCAACTGCTAATTTGCGGCGCACTTATTCTAATGGCATTCTCCACGTGCGAAAGTGTACTTAAAAATAGCTCACCGACTATAGCATTCGCTCAACGCATGCGAAACCATCCAACTTTGTATCTATTAGAGTTTTACCGCGCCTCGTTTAAATAACGGAGATATAATTGTGATTGTGAATGCGATTACGCATGTTACTAGCCGTGTATTAAAATGTGACAGGCTGTTTTGTTGCAGCTTTAACGATACGAGCATTTATAAGAATTCTCCCATTTATCTGGAGGTTTTATCTCTCCTTCGAATTCTTTTTTTTATCTTATTTTGATCGATTAATGTGATTTACTGTTATGTATAACAAAGATGAAACGATCCTTTCAGAAGGATTTATGACATTTATCTTACATTTTATTTTTTTAGAGACTAGATATTCAAGCATATCGCGCATGGAGAAGCGTTTATACGCGAACCTCGTTTATGAGACTTGTATTATAATTTATTGAGGAAGTGTTTTTGTAATATAATACATATGTCAGGCAGTTATATACATATATATATAGATAGATAGAAATAACTTGTATATTTAGAAGTTTATATGATAGTCGAATCGATAGGTGCTTATCCGCGTTGAATCACCGTATTCAGATGTCATGTTATAGCATTTAAGTGGAATGGTTTCTTTTTATTGTAAAACCCTGACGAACGACGTTATAGATATTATCGCGAACATCAATTCGTTATTTCCCTAATTTCCCTTTTGTACCTGGATGATCTTTTAGCGATAGTTGTGCATCATCCTCGCGGTCACTCGTAAATATATATGTAACGGTATTACTGTAAACTTACGAGCTACTTATCCGAGGGCAGCTATTCCAAGATCAGAGAAGAAGTTGAAAACGAAATCTCTTGATGTAGCATGCGTGATGTCTTTAAAGAAACGTCGACTACACAAAAATTGTTTATATCTCTTAATGACGCTTTAATCATGTTTTCAATATAATCACGCATGGACAAATCCTGCATTTTATCATTAGACTTCGTGCTGTTTATAAACTTGAGATACGTTATAAACTGAATAATTATGTTACTTTAAGGACATCTTATTTGTATATAGATATATTTATACATATTATATATACATAATATAATTATTCCTATTACAGAAATGGAGTATGTATACACAAGCATAATGGTACATCCGAGATGCATTAGTGGAGTAAACTTATTTGAATATCGTGCAATGTCAAAAATAATTTTTAAGCCAAAATACACTGAAAATGATAAAGTATTTGAAGAAGAAAATATCTATCTATCGAGATAAATATAGATCCGATTTTAAAGTGTAAGTAGGAACTGTATAAATTGAGCCCATTTCAGTGCTGTAAAATATTATTTTTTTCTACCATACTTTTTAACAACACGCTTGACAACGCCCTGAACAATTAATTTTGCATAGTGGCGTGTTACATGTGAATTACAGTTTCAGTCATTCAATAAAGTTATAATGAAAAAAAATCAAGATTAATTAGATTGCCCAGAATCTTTTATTTCTTATATATTTATAAGTCTTAATTACATTGCGCACATTGCGTAAACTGAAAACAGTCCCAAAATCCAATCTTACTCCATCGTGCAAACTTTAACAACTTTCATCCTCCAGTCGCATATAAAATATTTTTACTAGTGTACCAGGTCAAACTTTGATGAGTAGAATCAATCCGGTTTCGTCAGCAGCTGTGAATGGACTAAGAATGATCGCCACAGCATCTACCTAAATGCGTATGAACATTGCCCTCTTTGTGCGCTCTATCTCTAAGAGCCTTTTCATGATGGAAGCTGGTGAGATCTCGTTTCATAGCATAAGCATCTTCGCCGTCCGCATAATATTTTGGCTCTACTTCCGATACCTCGAACTGCAAGCTGCTTGTGTACAAGTTGAGAGCTGCACGATTACTTCTGCGCACATGCAATGAAACGTATTTTGCTCCGAAGCACTCCACCATCGCTCGAGAGGCCTGATTCATCAACTTTTGCGCGATACCTAGTCTTCTGTGAGAGCGCTTTACAGCGAGACTGGTAATATGCCCGTGGGGATTGTCCTCACAGTCTTCTTCCATCTTGGCAAGCACATATCCCACTATTCTTCCTTTTTCGTCCTCCGCTACGTAACTCAGTTGCGGCCAAGACAGAGCATGGTATAGATAATATTTCATCTGATAATTCTCAGGTAAACATTGCAAATTGCAATGCTGTATATTCAGCAGATCTTCTGTAGTAGCACAACGTATATTTACAGACATTTTAGTTGGATATATATTCTGTCAGGTATCCAAGATTAATTTTACTTTATACAAAACCGTTGTGTTGGTATTATCAATATTATAAATGATTGCTCCAATATATTGTCCGATATTTAGTCACGACGAAGTTTCTTCATGCGTGCGCGACCATTCCTCAAATCGTTAACTGACGACGATTCACTCATTCCATTCCCCGTTAACTCTCTCACAAAGCGGAACCGTGATAGGAAGAACGTCCAAACTAAGTACCAACCTGGAAAAGAAATCATAGTATAAATATTATACAATATGCAATTATATAAAAACAAAATAATAATAATGAAACATGCATGATTTCACGTTGAGTAAGTTTTATAATTCAGATTAAGAACTTGAAATATATTTACATTTATCTCTTATTCAATTTAATAGCATCTTAATAATATAAGTGCTTTAAGCATTTTAATTATGTATTTCAAATTCTTAGCCTAAATTATAAATTTTATAGGGATATGTATAAAATTCTATAATTTAGTGCTTAAAGTTCCGATCATATATCTATACATTGTTAAATATTGTTAACATTACAATATCATTATTGAGTGCTTAATCGTTTAAAATATTTATATTTGTGTATTTAACTTTCTTAATTTTACATATAGCAGCTTTTAGTATGCACTAATCTGGTGTAATGCAAGTGACTAAATTCGCGATAAGAATTTGGAGTACATTCTTATCTCTTGTTCGATTTAATATTTTAATAATACAAGCACATTAATCACGTATTTCAAATTCGTAGCCTGAATTATAAAATTTATTATGTATGTATACATATATATATATATATATATAATTCTACATAGCGTTTAAATATATTATAGCAAGCTCTTTACTGTCACTCAATGTAAATGTGTATGTAAAGCATGACATAATGCAAAACAATATGCTTATCACTAATAGCGTTACATACAAAACATGAGCTCTATACGAGTGTTGCACTAAATTTAAAAAATACTAGAACACAATTAGGTGTCTATACACGATCGCATTTACAGTACCGGTACGCAAATCCGCACTGAGCACAAAAAACTGAGAAACTTGTGCTGTCGTATCCGCGTGTTTTTTTTTCCTGATGACGTAATTATGTCAAAGCATCATGATCAAGATATCAGCGCCCTGATACGAGTGCTTACCTATCACAACAAGGAGGAACACTATTAATAAACTGAATACCACGGAGAACGCCGTTAGGAAGATTTCCATCGAGATTTCCATCGGGATTTCCATCAAGAAGCGAAAACGAGAAAAAAGAAAGAGGAAAGAAGAAAAATGTGTGGAAGAAGTGATTTTCCCTACGTCCTACGTCATACGCGCGAGCGATGGCATAACTACTCCTTCACGAGGACAGCTTCACGCGAGCGGCACCGTACACGTGCTCGCGAGTCAACGATCAACAACAGAGTATGTCACGACGACGACGGACGACGGCGAGTTCATGCCTTGCCTCTCACACTTGGCACGCCATTTTGAAAATCGAAATCGCAGGTACGCGTACAGGTTATGGTTCCTATCCCCTCCTCGTCGGCGAAAATGTATGTATGTACCGCGCCGCCCGGACGATCATCACGCGATCTCGCAACGGCACTTACCGAGGTCTCGAAGCAATTTAGGTAGACGCCTTGGCTAACATCATCTCCACGAACTTCTCAATCCCTCCTACGACTCCTGCCGGCGAACAATCCCGCGGACGAGCGAGTACACCTAACCTAACGCTACACAACATGCATTCAGACTTCGGACACAGTATATACAGTAGCGCAACTCTCACGATTTCACCGTGGATAAAAATGAACTGCACATGCGCGAGCGAGGTATGTAACCAATCAGGGCACTTATATTCCATCTCGCTTCTTCTCTTTATTGTCGCTGTCTGTCTGCACCGTTAAAATGTCCATATAAGAGATTTAAATAGCCATTTAACAGAAAGTGACAGTTTTGATTAATTATAACTGATTAGTTTTCTCTGTTGAATGCAGCTATTATCAATTAGTTAACGTAATAGGTACGTTTCAGCGGAACACAACAGTTTTGAAACCATTTTTATGATTGTGTGCTAAGATAGAATCCACCAATCCTTTAGATCTAAAAGTATAATACAATCAGCGCAAAGAAAACTTCCAACATTTGCGAAATAAACGCTGAACGCAGTCATTTTTTATTCGTTTTTTTAAATAACATGTAACAGGTTTAATATTGTTGTGATTTGACATATAGTAAATTGAATTAGTCGAATAACTGGATTTTATCTGACAAATATAAGAAGAAATTTAAAAAATAAATTTAACACCGTTTTTTTAACAGTAAAGGAAGAATATTTCAAATTGGAGATAAGTAATATCGATCAGTTAAAATAAAACGGATTGCTATATTATTATTAGTTTTCTTATTGCGTTTATATTTTGTAACTCTGACTATCATTGCAAATAAAAAAAGGTTAAGTATAAGTACGAATCTCCTTATATTTCCTGAGAAATAAATGTATATCTATCATGTTTCATTTTTATTTTATTTTCTGTTTTAAATATAATGTATATTGTGTAGGTCTGTTATTTTTCGAAGGTTCTGAACTTATTGGATCAGTGTACACCAGTTCAGAACTTACAGTGGAAAAAGAACAGACCTTATGCAATAAAGTAGAAAAAGAGAAAAGGTTACAACAGAGAGAAGAGGTGAGATGGAATATCAATGCCTTGATTGGTTACATACCTCGCTCGCGCATGTGCAGTTCATTTTTATCCACGTTGGCATCAAAGGTGCCGACAGAGAGTTGCGCTACTGTATATACTGTGCTTCGGAGTTGAAGCAAGTTGGATTGGGGACGTTGGGGTTGGTTGGGATTGAAGTAGTTTATTTGCAGCTGCTTTAGATGTCGTGAGGAACACGAGGTGTTACACCTTTTGCACTCTAAATAGAACATGTGTTAAGCCTTGTGTCCACGATGCTAGAAATCCGTCCGAGATCTCGGATGAAGAAAGAATTGACCAATCGCATTGATCATGTGACTAAATTGTTTAAATGTGATTGGTTAATTCTTTCTCTCTCCGAGATCTCGGACCAATTTCTAAAGCTCAGTGTCCACGATGCTAGAAATCCGTCCGAGATCTCGGATGAAGAAAGAATTGACCAATCGCATTGATCATGTGACTAAATTGTTTAAATGTGATT